GGTCGTAGCTAACAACTTACGACCTACCACGACGGGTCGTAGCTAACAACTTACGACCTATCACGACGGGTCGTAACTAACAACTTACGATCTACCACGACGGGTCGTAACTAACAACTTACGATCTACCACGACGGGTCGTAGCTAACAACTTACGATCTACCACGACGGGTCGTAACTAACAACTTACGACCTACCACGGAGGGTCGTAGCTAACAACTTACGACCTACCACGACGGGTCGTAGCTAACAACTTACGACCTACCACGGAGGGTCGTAGCTAACAACTTACGACCTACCACGACGGGTCGTAGCTAACAACTTACGATCTACCACGACGGGTCGTAACTAACAACTTAAGACCTACCTTACGACTCACAATGTGAGGTCGTTCTCCCTCGTCATCAAAGAGGTCGTGGTCGTCGCCGGGGTCGTCCCGGGCCTCGTCCCCGTGCTGGTGGTCGTCGTGGCGACTCTGGTAGTACTGCCTCATGCAACATGCACCGCGCCAACCACAACAGGTCAATGCAACCAAATATAATAACAAACAGAAAATACTGAAAAGTAAACTATTAAAAATCATGCTATTAAAATAAAAATATATTTATATATAAATACACTCATATGTAGGCCTATACATATAAGGACACACACTAGGCCTATACATATGAGGACACACACTAGGCCTATACATATAAGGAGACACACTAGGCCTATACATATAAGGAGACACACTAGGCCTATACATATAAGGAGACACACTAGGCCTATACATATAAGGACACACACTAGGCCTATACATATAAGGAGACAACAGTGAAGGTAATCTTACCCGAACCGTTTGGGCATTCTTGCGAGAGTTCCAGCAGAACTCCAAGATGGCGACCACTATAGCGAGGGCGAGACCACACATGAGCACCACGAACACCCCTCCTGTGGGGGGGGGGGGAGTGACGTCACTTCCGGCTCACTTGTAAAGGGTATTAAAACTATCAACACAAGACAGAACACGAAACAATGGATATAAATTGGATGAACATAAGAACAAGGTAACTGCAGAAGGCCTATTGGCCCATACGAGGCAGCTCCTATCTATTACCACCCAATCCCACTCATAAAAATGTCCAACCCACGCTTGAAACAATCAAGGGAGTTTAGATTTAGGAAAGACTTGGGTAAATACTGGTTCGGTAACAGGGTTGTTGATTTGTGGAACCAATTACCACGTAACGTGGTGGAGGTGGGGTCCCTCGATTGTTTCAAGCGCGGGTTGGACATGTTTATGAGTGGGATTGGGTGGTTATAGATAGGAGCTGCCTCGTATGGGCCAATAAGCCTTCTGCAGCTACCTTTATTCTTATGTATACATAATACACCGTGTATGTGACGTTCTGGTCTGAGTCATACACAAAGTATGGGTCATATACACAAATTAAGGCGCGTCTGGGATCCTCTCAGACGTAGGTTCGAATCCTGATCACGGCCCTTGTGGATTGGTTCCAATGCGTCATATACAGTTAACAAGTGACTAAACTCTAGCATCACTTGTTAGCGACAACACCAACAACCTCGCGGATCACCATCTTGGCTCAACTATCACCACCTCCTGGAGACACCTGGCTGCTTGACCTCAATCACACAACATTGCACGTACACATCTCAAGAGGCAGTACTGCCCAGCCTGAAGGAGTAGCCTGGAGAGTAGAGTCCGTGAGGGCTCAGCTGGCAGCCATCATGGCCCTTGACTATCAGATATGTCGAAGGAAAAGACATTTGCGTTTCGTAATGTGACTCCTTGCACGTCAGTGATCAAATGAGAGTCTGCAGTATACAAGAATACAGTATACATTTATACAATCAATAAATCATGTTGTATTAATAAATGTTTTAGCATATATAGCGGCTGTTGCTTACGGCTGCCAGGACTTTATTTGTAGTTTCGTGGCACGCAAAGTCCTCATACCACACGAAGGATCAACACGCTGCTGCCATATGTTGATGTGAGTAATTGGTAACTCTCAGAAAGTTGAGTGATTGACTGGAAATAGAAGGTGGTGATTAGCAGTTATTGCTGTGGTCAACTACGTGCTTCTTGGGCACTTCCTGCAGTGTTGATCATCTCCTGATGGAGACTTGTTGTGATTGATTCGTGACTGTTGGCACCACCGCTTATGTTTATGTTAGCAAGCACGTGGCTTTGTTGACACTGACCCGCCGCTTTTGTCTGACCCCACTACGGACAGTGCTGGACCCCTTCCCGCCCCCCTTGTCTGACCCCACTACGGACAGTGCTGGACCCTTCCCGCCCCCTTGTCTGACCCCACTACGGACAGTGCTGGACCCCTTCCCGCCTCCCTTGTCTGACCCCACTACGGACAGTGCTGGACCCCTTCCTCCCCCTTGTCTGACCCCACTACGGACAGTGCTGACCCCTTCCCCCCTCTTGTCTGACCCCACTACGGACAGTGCTGGACCCCCTTGTCTGACCCCACTACGGACA